CAGCTTACGAAGGGGCTTTCTCGCCCCGGAGCTCGCAGGTAGCAATCCGCCACCTCGACCTCCGGGGCGAGAAAGCCCCGTTCGTAAGTGCAGATCCGGCGTAAGTCGGGGACTGCCTCTATTTTTCCAGGATGTGTTCGCATTATATACCAGGTTTAGAAACACTCCCATTGGTTGATCAGTACAAACACTCCACTATTCATCTTTTCCACATTCTATTTCTGGTCACCAAGAAAATAATTTCCTAGACTCTGAATTAAAAGGGAAATAAAGAAAAATCGTATTCATTGTGTGACAGATATACTGATTTACAGCTCATTCAAATTTTGCATTTCATATGGGCCTGGTTTGAAGACTTCCAGTAAGCTTAGTTTTGTGAGTCTCTACTGCAGAAATGGTTTTATTTGGGGAGAAGGGCAGGAAGTTAGCTGTCATTATATTCTCTTGTGAGCTTGGATATTTTCCTATAAGCAGTTTCCTGTAGAACAATATATAGTACTGCAGTAGCAGTATCAATATATGGGTTTTATTCTACATTGCATCACATGTTGAAGTCCCATTAAAATTGGTAAGTAACTTCAATGGAAGTTGTCTATACAAAAGAGCTGCTGCCGAGTGAGATCGTGTAAATGTGTTGAGGTCAGTGGAATATATAGTGTACTATACCCATAGTTTCATAGCTGGCACAGGTCATGTGATTAGGATGTCTTGAGGCATGTGTTTTGTTCATTTTCAGGAAGTGTGTGTTGAGAACCAAGTAGGAGAAGTACTTGAGAAACAGTAAGGCGAGAATTATCTTTGCAACATTATCATGCTGTAGAGGTGAAATTGAATAGAAGGATATATGTATCATTGTGCTCTTCTAAATGAGCGTGCAAAAGGTTAGAACTGACAGTGGAGTAACAAGGCATTAGCTCCCTTAACTCGTTAGTACCAAAGGCGTACCACAGCTTTCAAAGGATTTGAATATTGAATGCTAACCTTTTTATTTTTTTCCTCTCTTCCCCCCCCCCCTTCTCCTCCCGTCCCCATGGCAGGTCTCATTGGTACATTGCAGTTATCTGCTTTCCTTGGTTAGAAGAAGCAGTATATGAGGACTTTCCAGATCAGGGTTCACTGAAGTCTCAGACTCAGCAATCCTTTCTTCAGTCTGAAAAAAAGAGAGAAACTGTTAGAACCAACACAGTGCTGGTCTTCAATGATAATTGGAAGGATGAAGAAGAACTGGATGTAAAGAGTAGTTGTCATTCAGAAGGTAGTGAGTGACTTTAAGAGAAAATGATGAAAAACTATTTGCTTCAGTAATTCCAGAATGCTTTAATGAAACACTTATCAAAGGAAACTCAGCTCTTTTCAAGACGTGTATAGTGGATTTTGCAGATTACTATATATAGTAAAATGTCCTGATATATTAGGGGCATATTGTGTTCTTGATCTCCTCATGCAGCTTGTTAGACATGAAGTTGCATATGCAAATCCAGGGCATAATATTAGATCCTAAATTAGATTTCTGTACTAGGAAGCTAGTTGAACTCCCATTAAAGTCAATGAAATATCTCACATTGGTTTCAGTGGAAATTGGATCAGGACCCTAGTGAGGTCTTTCAACAATATTCAGCAATTGAGACATGCTTGTACCAAAGGTGGGAAAGTAAGGCTAGTTTATGCTCATGCCATCTTCTTTCCAATGGGGATAGAGTCATTTGCCAAGAAATGCAAATGTTTCAGCCAAAAAAGAAAATAATCATATTTATTTTCAATTTACTGTCTTACACTAGGTAAAGATTGCCATACTTCATCTCCAAACTTGGAGTCAGAGGATTTTGCAGTAAGTATTTTTCTGTACGGACAAAGGAAAAACAGTGAAGTATTTAGTGACCATCTGACACTGTCATATTGCATTTTAAAAATAAACTCTAGGACTAAACTATCTACTGATGTCCCTTTTAGGTAAACAATGACAAGTAGCAGTGTATATTTTACTGTATTAGATAAGCACATGGTTGGTTTTTATTTTAGCTTGTCATAACTAGATTACTTGAATGTCATTACTTCAAAATAAAATTACACTGTTGTAAAATTGACTTGACCCATGTGATCACACTTGATATTTGTCATCAGGCTCTTGATTAGCAAAATAGGTTGACTTCCAAGAAAAGAAAATTAAATCTAATGAGGGAAGGTAGTAATTTGTATTACTGTTTTTAACAGCTCAAACTTGTAAAATTGCACTCCGAGCAAGTTTTTTAAAAATTAAATAAAGTATGATTTATTTCATTATTAATGTCTAGTGAAGAACAGGTGAGTATTTTTTATATCTGGGCTCATAAATTTGCATGACTGTTCTGCAAAGTTTACTATCTGTATCTTAACCAGTATTGTTTTTAGGCTGAGTTATTGTCATAGTATCTGAGACACATTTCACTATAGCTTCTTGATCCTGCATCTTTTGACCCTAATCTTGAGCTGATGATATCTGCTTGGTTTTTTTTTAATGGAGTGATAATAGAAGACGAGTTTCTTTATCAAACAGAAGTGGTTTTTAGGATGGTTGGGTTCTGCAGAAATTTCCTTTATGACTGGCAAGGAGAGCAAACACTGAGGGAGGAAAAATGCAAACAGGCAGATGTTTGTTTGATTTTTAGGTATGGGATAGATTGTAACTCAATCTAATGCAGCTACAGAAAGGATTAAAAAGGTGTGAGCTCCTCCCACTCAATCTCCATGTGACTGGTCAGAACTAGAGTTTGGGCAAAAGATGGAAAATAGAGGCTGAGTGCCTCATACTCCCTCGATGAAAGTATGAGTATGAGAAGGCGATATGAGTAAGTCATATTTGTGCTCCTCCCCCAGGCACCAGTCATTAGAAGTGTGGGCCGCAAAGAAAGGGGCATATGATGGAGTATATTTCCCTAATCTGAAACAGGAGCTGTGGAGAAATCATGACCCAGAGATGCACGTCTGAGTCACAGTTCCTTTCCACAGATGCTTCTGGGCTATTTGCTCCCTCTTTGAGAACAAAACTCTCCATCTGGCCCTCAGTACTTCTTTATGGTCCCTGTGTGTATTCCACATGTGAGTGTCCATGTGTACCATGTGCCTGAGACTGGACATTTTTAGTAAGCGATGTCTATTAGTCTGCACGCATGCAGTGGAATTCCTCATGCTCCGAACCAAGGGCAGAAGGACTGATGCAGCTCCCATTCCTTCTTACTACTGCATGGCTTGACTCAGAATTCAGGCAGCTTGTTCCTCCAAAGAGGGACTATGCCAAGACTTTCTGCATTCAAGAATTGTCTCCCCTATGTGGACATTTTTAGTAAGCGATGTCTATTAGTCTGCACGCATGCAGTGGAATTCCTCATGCTCCGAACCAAGGGCAGAAGGACTGATGCAGCTCCCATTCCTTCTTACTACTGCATGGCTTGACTCAGAATTCAGGCAGCTTGTTCCTCCAAAGAGGGACTATGCCAAGACTTTCTGCATTCAAGAATTGTCTCCCCTATGTACAGCCAATAGCTCTGCATCATGTCACCACCGATGCAGCATCTGCCTCTCTTTCCC